AAGCCCAGGGCAGAGCAACTCTGCCTTGGGCTTCCTGTAGTCAGCCGCTGGTCAGTTTCAGCAGTAGCTGAATCTGGACGCCAGTTCTGACTTACATACAAATTCAACTTAAGAACAAACCTACAGTTCCTATCCTGTACGTAACCCGGGGACTGCCTGTACAGATACTGAAGGCTGGATTTTCAGAGTGCACTTCAGGCTAGTGGGGAACACAACTGTGTATGCTTAGAAATGGCAATGTTTTCAGAAATGTGCCTAGTGCAACTTATAATAGGAAAATGTCACTGTATGTTTATGTAAGCGGGGGAATGGTTCCGCTATTGTGGGGAACTTTCTTGAGTTCTATACCACCCTGGTTTAATGGACCAATGAAAGGATCTGAGTCTCCGTTCCCACTTCCTTTACTCCACAGCCTCCCTGATCCTGAGGGCTCCCCTTCCACTCTCCTGAGTAGCAGAATCCTCAAAACCCCAACAAGGCTGGGCCCAGGTTTCCTGGGGCTTAATCCCCAAACTTGTAGTCATTTGGAGCAGGGGCTAGAGTGTCCCCATTCCGGGGTGATCTCGTCACACTGCATGCTTTCTTGGCCCAGTGATCATTCCATAAAGTTCAAAGCAAATACAATTTATTAAACATCAACTGATTAGATAGAAAAGAATAAGAAAAAATGAGAAAGGTTAAATGAGAACACACAGTCCTGCTCTGTAGCATGGGGCCATCACAAACAGCAGTCTGTAGAGTGTAAGGTGATATCTCCCTGCCCAGAGCCTCTCCCCACACTTTGCTGTCCCAGCTGCTCACCACACCCAGCTGCAGGCTGTGCTGCTTTGCCAGTCTCCAGCTCCTTGCGTTGCTTTTCTGTCCCTTTTGGCTCTCTGAGCACTGCCAGTCTGCTGCTCAATACAGGGTCTGCACCCCTTGGACTCTGTGTGCCTGTCTCTGTTGCTGCAGGACTGCCTCTCCACACAGCTTGCTCCTCTTAGCTGTCTCCCAGCTCTCTTCTTGCTCAGAGAGACCCAGAAAAATCCCAGCTCACAGGGAGGACGGGGCCTGGCCTCTTACTTTCCTCACTGGCCTGTCCAATCTGTCAATCAGGCCGAGCTGGAGTGTTGGCTGCTTTCCATTGTCTCTGGGGTCTGTCAGTCTCAGGGCCCTGATTTCTCATGGACACTTTTGATACTGGGAGCTGGCAAACCAAAAACTTCCAGAGTTTTAGTAAGAGGCTAACAGTCCCCTTACATTTATATAACTCAAATTTATATTTGTCACAAAAGATGATTTGCTCTCTCTGTGAACTACCACCGTTCACTCCAACATACATTACTGAAGATGCTATGTTTTAAGCAATAGGAGGCACACATATTAGAATATTCCCGCTATAGCCCCCGACTGAAAATTAAAGGTGGATAATTTGGCTCCTATTCATGAACCCGCCGTTTGTTTCTGATTTTGATATGGTACAAGATATCACTAAAGGGTCTGCTTTAGAGTTGATGTTCAGGTCTTTGCTGCAAGTGATTTTCAGCTATGTATGATGAGGGCTCTTAAGGGATCTTGCTGGCATTTCCTCAGCCTTTTTCATTGTCTTGGCTCCAGGAGCAGTCACACTGTGGCCCCAGCTCCAGCAGCTGCCTGTCATGCAGCCTGGCCAGGAGCAGCTGGGAAGCTATCATGTGGCCCTGACTGCAGCTCCAGCCCTGGGGAAGGATTGGAGCCAGAGCCAGGGCTGGAGCTGCCACATGGCCCCATCCTGGGAGCAGCTGAGCCGCCACCAGGCAGCCGAGTAACTAGTCCCCCACTCTCCCACCAAGCCCACTACTATCACTTACCTTCCAAGTGCGAGGAAGACGAGTGCTGCTGCACGACTCTGCTGAGGAGGTGGGCAGGTTTTAAAATTCTTTGTTTGCACCTCCACAGACACGCACCCTAGAAGCAGCTTAAGTAGTATCTAATAATTTTTCTTTTTGTTTCTCATAGGCTTTGGGGAACCATGAATTTGATAATGGTCTGGATGGATTAGTGGATCCACTACTTAAAAATGTTAATTTTGCAATTCTGAGTGCAAACATTAAAGCAAGCAAATCAGTAGCATCCAAGATTGCTGGATATTTTCAGCCTTATAAAATACTACATGTTGGTTCAGAAAAAATTGGAATTGTTGGTTATACTACTGTGGAAACATCTTTCCTTTCAAATCCAGGTATGCTTTTCTTTAGTATAACAGAAATAAATCATAAACATTGAAACGGTCACGTGCTAAGATTTAACCAGGTCTAGTTTACTAGTATGAATGAATATTGATAAAGGGTTTTAATTAAAAAGTTAACCTATAGATAAGTGGTTCTCAAAGTTTTTGGCCTGCAGCCTTTCTCCCTCAACACAGACCTTTCCATGAAGTGTCTCACAACCATCTATGAAGACAAAAAGAGCACAAGGGGGGTGGGAGAGCAGAGTCTGAGAGGAGGGTGGGTAGAGGATAGGGTTGCCAGGTATCCGGATTGGACTGGACAGTCTGGTATTTGCGGCCTCTGTCTGGTTTAAAAAAAACAACAAAAAAACCCAGAAAATACGGGACATTTAAATCTGTTGTTCTCGGATGGATCACAACCATCTATGAAGACAAAAAGAGCACAAGGGGGGTGGGAGAGCAGAGTCTGAGAGGAGGGTGGGTAGAGGATAGGGTTGCCAGGTATCCGGATTGGACTGGACAGTCTGGTATTTGCGGCCTCTGTCTGGTTTAAAAAAAACAACAAAAAAACCCAGAAAATACGGGACATTTAAATCTGTTGTTCTCGGATGGAAGTCCTCTTGGGACATTCTCCCCCAGCCACATTTGGTGGA